CCTGTTACCTCCTTTTAAAAATGGTCTTGGAGTGTACCAGCTCAGCTCAACAGCAAATCCAACCCCTCATTTCCCTAAGTGCGCTGTTTTGGACCCTAAGGGGAAGTAGGGTGGGTGTGGGGCACTTGGCTCTGATAGGGTTAGGGCAATGGAGCCCTCTGATTTCCCTTAACGTGTGTATTGCAGAAGAGAATGGGCTATTAGTTGGAGGGACCCGGTCTGAAGGGAGCCGGGGGGCCACCGGCAAAGATTGTCCCTTCTGCGGAAAATCTTTCCGCTCGGCGCATCACCTCAAGGTACACCTGCGAGTGCACACAGGTGAGGAGACAGCCTTAGGGTGGGGAGGGTACTGGGGGGCAGGAAGAGAGGTGAGAGGGCTGCAGATGACTTTTGGCAGCCTTTAGACTGGCCAGATGAGTGGGTTGGGAAATTCTCCTTTAATAAATCCGAGGGGGTGGGAGAGGCAGTGTTTTTTCCCTGTCCGGAGGAGGTCTGTATGTTGAGCGAAATGTGGATGGGGTGGGCAGTGATCTTGACTGTGACCTTAGTGCACCCCCTTCTCCCCAGGCGAACGCCCCTACAAGTGTCCACACTGCGACTACGCAGGCACCCAATCTGGCTCGCTCAAGTATCACCTGCAGCGCCACCATCGGGAGCAGAGGAGCGGGGCTGGCCCTGGGCCACCACCAGAGCCACCCCCTTCCCAGAGGGGTTCGGCCCAGACATCTGGAGCTAAGACAGCTCAGCAGTCTGCAACTTGGGTGGAGGGTACCTCGAATCCCCGGCCTTCCAGCGGCACCGCACCAGGGTCCCGTAGGAAGCCTGCCAGTCCTGGGAGGACCCTGCGCAACGGGCGAGGCGGTGAGGCCGAACCCCTGGACCTGTCCCTGCGGGCGGGGCCGGGAGGCGAGGCTGGGCCAGGGGGTGCCCTCCACCGTTGCCTCTTTTGCCCCTTCGCCACTGGAGCTCCTGAGCTCATGGCCTTGCACCTGCAGGTGCACCACAGTCGCCGGGCTCGGGGCCGCCGACTGCCCCAGGCTGATGTGTCCCTGCCCTATGTCCGAGCACCATCAGGAGAGACCCCTCCCAGTCCTCCTCTGCAGGAAGGGGAGGAGGGCCCCGGGCTGTCGAGATCTGGAGATGTGGGGTTGGGGGGGCAAGAACGGTAGGGGGCCCCTTAGGGAGCTCTCTTAGGGGCCGTTAGTTTAGTGAGCTTACCCCGCCAGAGCAGGGGAGCGCTAGAGGTAGTTGGGTAGAGCAGCCAGCAGGGAGCAGTGTGGAACCCATATCCCAGCCCCAGGTGGACCAGAGGTAAAGGGTGTGGAGGGCATAGGAGGGTGGGTGGGCAGTATGCACTCAGCCCAGGGGAGTCACAGTGCCTTAGAAGTGGCAGGGGCGAGGATCAAAGAATGGGTTCCCAGGGCTGGCAGAGAGGGTTGTGCCCCTGTTGAGGAGATGCTCTGCCAGTCCTTGCTGGTTCATAGGCATGAGAGTTTATTTTTGTACAATGGGTGGGGGTGGGGGGCACTGTACCCTTCTAAGCCCCTTCAGGGGCCCTGTAGACGTCGCTATTTTTGGTACGATTCCTGTCATCCCTGTCGCAGAGTTGTGTCCCCAATAAACAGGTGTCTTGAGGCACAGGACACTGTGTCTGTCTGCCTATGTCCTGTCCTCCTCCTTGGGCCTTTCTGTCCAGGAAAGAGGCACCTCTTCAGGCACTTATCCCCCAAAGAGTGTGGGTTTTAACCCCAGGCTTTGGCTTCGGTAGCTCTGGGGTGGGGGAGCCCAGGAACTGGCATTTAGCAAGTGGCCTAGGGGATTCTTATGCATTGTGGTCTGAGGATCTCATTTTGAAATCTGCTGGACTAGGCTGAATCTCACCTTGACTGTGACTAGCTATGCCCCCAGGAGTGGGTGCAGTATGAGAGGAGGAGTTTCGAGGGGTGCACTGAGTCTCTGGGAGCCACCGTGGAGAAGGCACTCTCTCAGGCCCAGCCCACACCCAGCTTTGGTACAGGAAGGAGTACAAGGTACCTTGTAGCCTTGGTTGTATTTTCTGTGTTCTAGTTAATGGTTGAGGGGAAGTGTTCAAGTTAGTATCACCTCAACCCAGAGGACTGCTTCTAGCTCTTTGGACACAAAGTGTGAGTAAATACATTTAATATAACAATAGTATTATAATAACATTAATTACATATATAAAGTTTGCAGTTCCCCACCCCACCCTCATATTGGTTTGCATAGCTCCATTTCCTTATGACACCTCAGAATGGAGTCACTAGGAATTATGGTTAACCTGGCAGAGATGAGTCTTCTCAGGGAGAGTCAGGGGTGGGAAGAAGGGGAAAACGCCAGCTATCCTGGGAGGCCTGACATAGGGGCCATGCCCTGGGAGTATGCAGGATGGGGAAGGACTGGGCCAGGGATAATTACCCACCTCCAGGGTTTGAAGGCAAGCAAGTATGGCTACTTTGGTTCCTGAAGGAAGGCACCCAGTTGGGGAGAGCTACAGAGATAGTGGTAGCAGGGAAACGCGCTGGTCCTCTGACCTCTCTGTCCAGGAAGCAGAGGGAAGGAAGTCAATGCTCTTCCAGTCTCTCACTATGTCCCACTGCCAGCCCAGCCCAAAATGTGCTGAGAGGAGGGGCTGTAGCCAAGTTCTGGATTTTCTCTAGAAGCCAGGAGAGAAGAGGGACATGGGTTGGGAGAGGGAAGAGGCTAACTCCTAAGCAGCTGGGGGGAGGAAGGACGGCACATGCAGGAGGGAAGGAGTTTTGGAAGTGGTAGACTCACCCAGGTCACAGAGGCGTGGTGGGGTCACTCAAGGCTCGGGCATGACTCTTAGGGGAGAGAAACTGCGGTGAATTAAAAGGAGAAAAAATGATATCTCTTCCCTGCATCCCATCTCTCTCACTCGCTCTTTCTCACCCAGGCCTGTCAATTCACCTTTTTCCTCCCTAGAGTTCCTGAATTTGTAGATTTAATCCAAGACCAAACCAGGCTGTTGGCATTCTCCCCTTTCTATCCACTCCTGCAGTCTGCTCTTTATTAAAGATTCCTTTTCACTTCTGACCTTAATGCCTCTCAGCCAGGGGTTGGAGAGAGGAGAAAGGCAGACTGCACAATATATCCAGTCTGTAGCCTTGCTGGCAGCACAGACTCATTGGTTCTCCCTGCCCCCATGGTTGAAAAATCAGAAGAGCCCACCCAAAAAGTGGCCGAAGAGGTCACCCATTCCCAGCCCTATAGCAGGGACTTACCTGCCGGGATAGCCCTAAGATCCCTCCTGTGGCCAGAGTGGGAGTGCTGCTCCCAGGGTGGGGCGGTTGCAGGCTGGGGCTGTTTCTTGGTCCTGGGGACACATCTCCAGAAGAGTCAAGTGTTTCTGGGGCTGGAGGGGAAGCTAGGGTGAGAACGGTATAGAACTCCAAGATTACCTTAAGCAACCAAGCTGCTCCATCAGGGAAGAAAAAGCTCTATAGCAACAGGAAGCTGTGAGTCACCATAGCAATCCACTTGCAAGAGAACCCCCCTACCAAGAGGCAGGAAATTGTCAGCAGCGTCATTAAAGCAACCAGGGAAGAAGCGACAGGAAACTATAAGGATTGCTGAGATGAACCAGGAGGGTACAACAGGAAGCTGAGGCAGTTTCCATAGAAACCCAAGGAGAGCTAGAAAGGTACAGAGGAAGTGCTTCTTAGCAACAGGCTGCTGTAGTAGTACCCTAGCAACCAGATGGAAGGCTCTTTTAGCAATGGGGAAGCTGTAAATAGTTGTCATGGCAATGGGGCTACTTGGCTAGAAAAGGGAATTGCTCAGCAGCAAGCAGCCTGAACATCACAATGATGACCCAGCTGTTGGGGGGGAGCCACCCCTTGAGAGGTGCCTCACCCAGGGAAATTTGCTTGACGTCCAGATCCCAGGCCTCCTCCTCGACGCGGGCAGGCAGGGAGCAGGCTCCCGGTGAAAGGCCCGGAAGGGAGGGGCCGGCATGCTCAAAGGATGACACGGCCACGGAGGCCCGAGTGCGGGCGGCTGCAGAGAGTGGGGGTGAGGGGGGTGGGGTTCTGGTGTGGGAAAGCCCTCCTGACTCCCTGAAAAGACCCTCAATTTCATAGAGGGCTTCCCAGTTAGTTGCACAATTTCTGGGAAGACATCCACTCGTTGCCCTTCCTTGCTTTCTGTCATGCCTCCCATGTGCCCTCACTGTCAAGACTTGACTTTTGGGGGCCACCCCCCAGCACTGTGGCCCTCACCTCTTCCAGTGAGCAGGGCACTCAGCGTTCGCTCCCCAAGGGCCTTGATGTCCAGGAAAGGTTTATTCCCAATGCCCATGGAGACCATCTGCTGCACTCGGAGCTCTAGGGAACAGAGACACTGTTACCAACCTCCTTTTGCCCCTTCTCTGCTCTAGCCCCAGCATTGTTATGGTTCACTCCTCTGCTCCTTGCCAACTCTTACTCCTCCCTCTCATTTCTCGGGTGTCTCTTGTCACTCTTCCTGGTGACTTTCACAACGTGGATGGAGATGGTGGTCCTCAACTTCCTCCTCAAACATCTGTCTCTTTTCTCATGTATGTTGCATCCTGCCCATTTACCATTCCAGCTGCCCAACTTTTCTTCTGATACTCATGTCCGTTCCTTTATCTTGGGTGTTAAGAGCAAAACTCACATTTTTACACACCTTTACAGCTTATCAAGTGCTTCCATATATATCACCTTATTTAATTCTCCCCATTACACTGAGATGTAGATATTCCTTTCCATTTTTTTTCAGATGGGTAGAATGAGGTTCAGAGAATTCAAAACAAAACCAGCAAAAACCCCAAAACAAAAAAACGAGCCCAGGTCACACAGCAAGTAAGTCTGGAACCCAAGTCCAGTGCTTACTTGCTCTTTTGGCCAGCCATTTGTTCTTGTTTCCCTGAAACTTGCTGGATTCCTTTTTCCTTTTGGTTCACCTTAGACTAATCTGTATCTCAGCAGTCTCTCAAATTGTATCTTGAATCTTCTCATAAGTCATTCTTCTTTCTTCATCCTGCACCCTGTTTTCCTAACTGGTCTCCACACTTTCCAGCTAACCTGCCACAACCTCGACCCCAAGCACACTCTCCCCCAGCTCTGCCCATTACCCTTGTTATGAGCTGCCTGTCTCCACAGCAGCTGGGCGATAGAACTTGTCCACTTGAGTTTGATCTCTGGTGAAGCTGCCTGTAGAGTGTATGCTTCCCGTGCCCGCCGCCGCCGAAACCACAGCTCAAAGCAGAGCCCGCTGTCCCCGATGTTTTCTGTTAGCCCCATGTCGGCAGTCTGGGAAAGAGAGGAAAAGAGTGGGTAGCATGGAGTGAGGCCTGGCTAGATGGTACCACATGGAAAAGCATCACACTTAGCCTGGCATCTGGTAGATGTTCAGTAAATGTTTGCTCAACACCTACCATGGGCCAAGTGTTCTCCATTTAGTCTCCATAGCAACCATAATTTATAGAAGGGAATGCCCAGAGATACGAAGCAACTTGCCCAAGGGTTTATCATAGCTTATTAGAGAAGGAAGGTTCAGACCCATGTCTGTGTTACTCCAAACCTAGGCTTTTCCTTTATACTGTACTCCCCCCACCCCAAAAAAGCTGGAACTAGTATATGGGGACAAAATCTAGAAACCCTTAGAATTGTGCCACATAGCCATAGGTTGCTATTGGTATTTATCTTGATACCAGGGCTGTTTCCCTAAAGCAAGGCCTCCCTCCTCTTAGCTTCTTCAGTTTTGTCATGTTAAGCTAGGCATGCAGTGCTCTTTCTCATCTCCCCGGGACAATTCCTGACTCAAAAGGCATGGGCGTTCTTAATGGGGAGGGTCCTCCTTTCTGGCTTGGAATGCCTCATGAGTCTCCTGCATGAATGAGAAGGAAAACCCCAAGGACTAAACTGAGATGGACTTCTATCATCCTGACACCCTAATTGATGGTTGGCTACAGGCCAAAGCCTGTTCCAGATGCAGATGCCGAACCTGGGTTTGGGCTGAATTTACAGAACATCCTGAGTTCTCCAGAAGAGGATGACTTCCTGCCCCATTCCTCTCTACCCCTCCTTCCTGCAGGTGTTGTACCTTAAAGGCCTGCTTGTAAACAAAGGTCTCTGACCCCCCCTCAGAGCCCTTGAGCTTGCTGAACAGGAGAAGATGCTCAAAGAGAAAGACATGGCGAAGGCACTTCTTTCGGCCACAGATGACTGTGAAGGGGTCCCGGTGCAGGAGCTGTCCTTGTTCCTTCAGATCTGTCTGGATAAAGGAAAAGGAAAGGTTATTGGCTCTGGAGCCCTCTGTATATTTTATGGGAAGTAAAAATGGGATTTATAGGGCAAGGGCCTAATGACTAATTCTCTGGCAGGAAATCAGGGAAGCCCTTGGCCTAGAATCCACCTACGGTCACTGTGCACAGCACACCTGGCCTAGCAGAACGGCCTACCTCTGAAGACGGAAGGCACATTGCGTAGTAGGGTTTACAGCCTCTCATGGGGAAGCCTTTGAATGTTGGGGACCAAAGCACCCTTTTGCCCCAGGAAGGGAATCGGCAAAGAATTGATGGGGAAAGAAGTCTATCCCAGAGCAGGAAGGTTTTCAACCTGTTCTTGAACCTCAGGGCCGGAAAGAGATTAGGTAAAGGAGAATAAGGTA